ATAAAGATAGAATTTGGAATATTTAATTTGAACTAGTTTTAACTATAAATTCGTCTATATTTTTTATGAAACTTTTAAAACTGTGATGTTTGTTAATTTTTAGTACTGGTCTAAATTTGGTACCTTTTTCCATTAAAATTCTTAAATGTTGGTTTTGAACTATTGCTAAATTGCCTGTTATAATATGTTGATGAAATTTATCTATGAAATCTTTGTATTGAAGCTCTTTACAATATCAATGGGCTGTAGTAGCTAATTCATGGTGGTTAATTAGCAATTTACTAAGAGGTTTTTGATACTTGAAAGCTGGTGAGATCTGTACTTTGGTAGCTGGAAAAAGTTGTTGACTTTTTCTGAAAATTTTGCTAAACTGAATATGAATGAAATGAAATTGGAAATGATTAGGATGAAAGAAATTGATTTTGCAGTAATATTTATTGTATTTGTTATTTGTAGAGAACTTATAATTGCAAAAGTCAATAATAAGGTCTTTGATAATATTGTGCCCTGTAAAATGTTGTTTTACAAATTTTATTAGTAATTTTAAGAAATTGTGCTTACAAGTATGCAACCAAGTAATTATATTTTTAGTGAAATTATCAGTAAGAAAGTAATTATTTTTATTATCGTGTAACTTTTTTGTATCTATTGTTGAAAGAAGTTTATTTTTATGTTTATTACCTGCTCTGGTTCCTCGTAGTGTTTTTTTACTGAATAATTTAAAATGGCTGTAATTTGGAATTTCAGAATTTAATTTAATGTGTTGGTTGAATTTAATTTGTTTAAATATATATGTATATATATATACACACATGGAGTATGCTTTAAATTCATATTATATTATAACTTTTAAAACAAATTCTTGCGTTGAAAATTCAAATAAATAAGAGCATAAATAAAGCATTATATTTAATGCAAATTATAATAGAAATAAATAATAAAACACAAATATAGATTAAATTGAAACACGGAGCTAAGAAAGTTGCAGAAAGGGTGGAAAAAGAGTATGGGATTCAAACTCACGACCCTAAAAGGGCAAACCCAGCGCCGTCAGCTTTGTCACTAAGCTCGAAAGTGATTAGCAATTTTGGCTTATATACTTTATCAAGTAAATGAATTCTTAAAACTAAATTTTTTGGTCTTATTTCAGTGTGCTATCATCTAAAAAATTTACCAGAGTTTGTGCTTCAGCTTTTAGGGCATTTCTTACAAAAATATAATTTTAAAATGGCATTCCGATTGAAGTCAGACGGACTGCTAAAAATATATTCCGAGTGAAAGATGTGCTTACAAATATATGTTAGCGAAAAAAGCATATTTATAAATAGAGAAATACAACTTTAACATACATTTTAATGCAATAGAATATTTAAAAGGTCATCAAATTTAATTTATAAATAACCTGTTTCAAAAGAAAAAAAAATTTTAATGCCTTATCTGATTTGCTATAGCAGTTTGATACAGTGAGACGTTCATTATCATTAAAAGTAAATGTGTATGCAGAACTAGAAAATAATTATCAGGACAAATTTCGCTGTTTCATGGACTTGGAATTATACTTTTTGCACCTGATTTTCTTGAAAGTAATCACTGCTCTCTGCGAACTAGTGCAGTAGTTGCAATTATCTTATTTTTTTTTTAACTAAGTTCAGTTGATTGCTGTCTTTTTCATACGCAGATTTCTTGCTATAATTTTAATTCAAAAATAAGTTTTTTTTAGCAAAACATTGTTTCCCTGATCCAGCGTTCATCGCTACGTGTGCCGCCATTAGTTTTTAGTAACAACTCCTGATTGCTCCTTTTATACCACATGACCCCAATGCTTCCACAGACATGCGGACAGAAGTTGAACATTGTTGAACTTCATCCGTCACCGCACATTGACTGGATTGCAGATGTCAATCAAAGTGAATTCGCTCGCTGATTAGAGAAACGCATATGCATATGAAATACTGGAAAATGGCCTTTACTCTCATTCCAAAACAAAATATCAAAAATAAAAAAACATTACTTAAGAATGAAGAACAACCTGCTTCACTTTTGATAAATTTCATCACAGCAGACATACAGCTACATCTAGTGGCAGCAAAAAATACTAATTAAAGGCTCTATCTAAAAAGACATATATGGTACACCTATCCACAGAGTGAACTGAACAGCAGTTTATATGTGACACGCCCGGCTGTGAGATAACTTTTGCTGGCGATGCACTAAGACACACTCATCCTGAATGGGTTAAAAAAATGTTTAATAAAACAAACAAATAAGGTTTTATGTAATTTTTGTTATTTCCTTAAGGTTATAATGCGTTGCTATTTCATTAAAAAAGTATTCATATTTTTATTTTTATAATTTATATATGTCTTGATAATAAATTGATCTGAAATCCAGAAATTTCTGAAATTCAGAATCACTGAAGGCCCAACAGTTCTGGATCTTGGATTTTATGCAGTACAAAGTCTGAAATCCGGACTCTTCGGGACTTCCGCGATTACAGATTTGGGATTTTTCCGAATATTAGATCATCAGTTTAAATATAGTAATATGGCAAGTAGAAATTATAAACCTAAAAATATGAAATCGTGATTTATGAAATAATGAAGTATTTATGATCTAAATAGTATCAAAATTTACCCCAAAACACCCACTTAATATTTATTTGTTTACCTTGTTAAACATTTCTTTCAATGTAAGTTAAGTTGCTTTTTTTTTTTTCTTCCCCCCCCCCTCTTGGTGCTAATACTTTTCTCTTTAATTCTGTAGACAAACATAATCGCTTGTTTTGTATTATTGTTGAAGTCCTGTAACTGCTGTTTCGAGAATTCCAACTAAGTTGTCAATTGAAATTTTCTCGTTTTCAGTAACTTCTCTGTCACTTTCTCTTCACTATTGGTAGCGGTATTTTCTGGATCTAGAACCATACTACAGATTTTGCCATTTACTAGTTGATTGATGTTTGAGAAGCATTGTCATCACAATGAATAACTTCTTTTATATCATCTTCATTTATTACAGCTTCTCCATAATTCTTTACAAAATCCGTTAATTGGAAAATTTCACCTTTGTTTTGTGATATCCGAAAACCTTTAAAATTAGCGGCAATCATCATCAAATTTAGTTATCCTATACATATTTGGCTATGCGTCACTATACATATTTGGCTATGCGTCATGATCTTGGCGACTAATGACAAGTTGTTCTGTTAAATTTTATCGTGCTTCTATTGCTCGCTGAGACAATTAAGCCTGAATTGTATTAGTTTAGTTATTTATTATACTTAAATCTATTTCTTGCACATGCTTAAGGCTTATCATATTTCTGAATAAATAAATCTTATTGAGAACCGGCGCTAGATATTTTACCGCCTGATGCAGTCTCTGTGGGTCCTAAAATCTGCGGCTCGGTGTGGCCATACGCGCCAAAGCACTAGTTCTAGGTTTATGTGAATAACAAATCAGTTACTCTTAATTCGTATAGCCCTAAATGTAATCTTTGTGTCTATGAGTATCATCAACAAAATGTATTTTTAGCATATGGAAAGAAATCTTTGGTAAATTTTTCCTCGTCAAAATATTTTAACTCATGTACCTTAAATCTGTAATCATCGCCAAGTGTAATGTCAACATAAAAGGTTACCATACTCTTTTATTATTCAATTACTAACATAAAATTGTTTTGACATCTCTACATGAGTCATTACTCAAGTTGTCATGTTTTGATAAACATACAGTGATGAAAGGAAAGTGTAATAAATAATGATCGCCAGGTTGGTGTCAGATCAACAATGTATCTATGTGGAATGTTTTGATTTGAGATGTGTGCCAAGCAGATACGCAGCAATGGAGCCAAATTACTGATTGTACAAATTTATGCAAAAATTATGGTTTCTTCAATAACAAATTATTTTATTTAGTGTTGAAGTTAAGTTATTAAGAAACGGGACTCTCCAGATGTTTTATTATGCGCGGAGGGGGGAATCAAATGCGCATGCGTAAAGCCAACGAGAAAACGGGTTTGGTGGTTTTTAGGTCCAGATTTTAGATTATTCCGGATAATGGACGTCCAGATTTCGGACTTTGCACTGTACTGCACTATGGATGACATACTTCTAGAAATAGACTTCATGCACTGTAAATATGCTGAGTTTAAGAAGGACTTGGTTCTTTTTTTCCTCTTTGTTAAATTTTGAATTTGGTAAGGAAAAACTGATGCAGTTATGTTTTTTTAAATTTTAAGCCCCTTATCTTGCTCTATCATTTAGTATTAAAACATTAGGCCTAATAAAAGATAACGTAAACTTTTCTTTTTTTAAAGTGGGTACATAATATATGTGAAAAGCCATCGTTAACAGATGCTACTTTTGCTTAAACACAATATATACTAAGAACACTTTTGAATGCTGCAAACTGCTTTTGAAATAAATTAATTTAAAAATTAAAAGGAAAGTGAATGATCACAAAATTGAGTTGGAAGCATATTTTATTTGATATTTTGATAATTTAAAGAAGGAAAAAAAAAAAAAAAGAGCTTTATCACAGTTTTCAAAAATCTAAAAGTTAGTATTCAAATTTACAGCCACTTTAAAGCAAAAATCACACGTAAATGAATAAAATATTTCTCTGTTTCTTTAGATTGAATTTCAGATTTAGTGAGAGACACTTACAAGTCTGTTTAAATCATCTTTAACTTTGGTTTAGAAGTTGATCATCATTTTTTTTTAATTAGGCACAAGAGTGACATATTGTTGAGGTTTGACTGTTAGGTGCTACATAGTTGAATGTACAAAATAAGTTTTTTCACCTGTTTCCATAGTTGTAAAACTGTATGCTGTGTAATTCATCAATAATTGGGAAATAAATTAAGCAGAAAGTGCTCTTTATTTATAATAATTAGTGAATTCATTTAATACACTGACATAATGAAACACAAAAACAAGTTGCTATTCCTAAAATATTGTATATCTGTCAATATATTAAAATAGTTCATAAATTTTTTCTTAGGTGTAGGAGTTCTAGGTGGTCCTATGTATGCAGTTGGAGGACATGATGGATGGACTTATTTAAGTGCTGTAGAAAGATGGGATTCTAGCACTCGACAGTGGAGCTATGTAGCACCATTACATACTCAGCGTAGTACAGCTGGTGTAGCTGTTCTAAATGATAGGTGATTTATTTGCATCCTGATATTTTCTCTGTTAATTTTTAAAACTAAAATACCAAGTACTTAATATTTATAACAAATATTAAGTATGTAATGATATACTGGAATGCGTAATGTTCGGTGATGTTTTTGGACTGATTGCATGTTCCTTATTCACGCCATATCCTTATACGCTTGTCATCTGGCTCCAGAGCAAATCTTGACTCATCAGTAAACATGACATTGCCCCAGTCAGACACATTCCAATTGACATCAGCACCACTGTAATCGTGCCCCTCTTGATTTGATGGATAGAGGAACACAAACTTGAGGTACCCGGGCATACAGTCCACTCATATGTAATCTTCGGCATATGGTAGCTGCAGATATCGCCTTACCAATGGACACTGTAACCATAGATGTCACAGGTGTGGAGGTCGCTCTGCGATTCCGCTTGGCTACAATAGCAGTATATCGATCTTCCGTGGGGGGTTGTAACCCTTGGGCGACTGGCTACGAGCCTTCGGACAACTGTCTGTGCGGTTTGGAATTGTTTTCATAAATGTGAAATTACAGAATGATGAACGCCGAAGAAAAGAGCAACATCTGTGATCGACTGTCCTGCTCCAATACGCCCTACAGCACGCCAGTGCTCAGAATCTTCCATTCGTTTTCTGGAAGTCATAGAAACACGTATTGTTACGAAATGTACAGGCGTGGTAAGATGGCTTCCCCGCAAAGCAATTTTAGGATTGCCATAAAATGGCAAGGGAAGGCAGGGTTGCCATATTTGGCAAAAAATCACCCATTTGATGACAAAATTGGCGATGTGCCATGGACGGATGGAGAACCTTCTGGAATGAATTCTTACCAGTTTAGCCCAGAATGTTCTCGAACACAAGCCGAAAGCTATATAAAACCTGCTGGTCCGCAGTCAGTGAGTGCTTCATCGTGAGGGCGAGTGAGAGTACCTCGTCTAGAGTGTGAGTGTGTGTGCCTCGTCTAGAGTGTGAGTGTGTGTGCCTCGTCTAGAGTGTGAGTGTGTGTGCCTCGTCTAGCGACCTGATAGTTAGTATCGAGTTAGTCAGTCCGTATGGAGTCGATTGAGTTGACAGCCGGGCAGCGAGTGCCAAGTAGGTCGTCGAGTGGATTGAAGAGTCTCATAGTGTATCGCTGTTAGTGCATCGTCGAGAGTGTGTTAAGCTCTGGGAACGACTGAACCAAAGAGTCATTAGCTGTGCTCTGTGTGTTGTCGAGTGCATCGCAAGTTATAGCATGGAGAGTATTGAGAGTATGTGGAGTTCCGAGAACAATTGAGCAGAGTCGGGAGCTGTACTCTGGTGCTTTGCAGTGAAGCTGTCTCCACCGTGCTAGCCTAATAACCTGAAGGCTGTGTCGCTGATTGTTCCAGCAAGTGTATGGTAGATCTTCGATGACTGTAAAACGTGACTTTGAAGCTGTCCTGATTAATATTGGCTAAATAAAGTGTGTTTCGATACTTCATCAAGTGTTGTCGTTATTCACTCCAAATCTACGAACCCTGTACGAACGTGAAGGAAGAAAATAATGTAACAACTGGTGTCAGTCAGAAAAAAAAAATGCAACAGTATGTTTTGAAAACAAATCGTATGAAAGTTTTAAACATTTTCTATCAGCACTTACAATCAACTTCTGTTACCCTTCACAAAGCTGGCTTCTTATAAGACTGCCTTTTTTACATATTTCTAGACATGAAAGCGCGATTGGCTGTTACCTATCATATTTGCATACTTCCATCTACCTCTGCAGCAAATTGCATCCTCTTCAATTCTGATTGGCTTCCGGAAATTAGCATTTTCCTCTCCGTGCTTAACTTTTGGAAGTGAGTGTATTATTTTTCTTTCCATGCTAGTTAACTTATACGGGGGTTGTAAATTAAATAGTGGCAACTTAACCTTGAAACTCGCAGAAAGACGGGCATATGCAAATAGAATATGGGAGCGGTGAGGTGGCGCTGTTGTCGATGTGTAGAGTGCAAAAAACAGTTGATCTGCTTAGAAGGGTAGTTGTTGTGTGGCGTTAAAGTGAGGAGTTTCATTTCCACCGCTCTAAAGCATGTTTTCAAAAGGTGATCAGCAGTCATGGCTTAAAATCGAGGTTGCCTGTGGCAAAAATGCAACAGAATGCTATCGAGGATTACTGGAAGCCTGTGGCACAGATACTTTACCGTATAGGACAGTAACACGATGAGTTCAAGCATTTCGTTTGGGTCGGAATGAAACTGCAGATTTGCAACGCACAGGTCGGCCCTCCATTCCTCAAGAGCAGATTGACATCCTGAGTGGTCTCCTTACCATAGACCGCCGATGGACTGTCCGATAATTATCCTTAGAGGTTGATCTGAGTCATCAAACAGTGTGGCGCATAATGATGAAATCTCTCAACATGATTAAAATTGCTTCCCGCTGGGTTCCACATCGACTAACCGAAGTACAGAAATGGCACTGGTATGCACTGGCTGGCACCCGCTTGGAGAGATACCATAATGAAGGAGACGCATTTCTGCAGTGCATTATTACCATTGATGAGACATGGGCACATGAGCCTGAACTAAAGCAGCAATCTATGAATGGCGTCACCAAGGTTCGCCACATCCACAGAAATTTCGACAGGAACCCAGTCAGGTGAAGGTTATGCTGATTATAAGCATACGACTGGGACGGTGTGATTCTTACACATACTGTACCTGAAGGACAAACTGTGAATGCAGATTACTGTTGCGATTTCTACAGCACCATCTGTGTCCGGCTATGCGGTACAAACGTCCAAGTTTATTGCACAACAATCTCCCTATTGTATTGCATGACAACGCTTTGTTGCCATGTCGCAAACAATGTCACTCTCCTTTTGCGATGGTGGCAGTGGGAAATCCTGGAACACCCTTCCTACTCACCCGACGTGAATCCTTGTGACTTCGATGTGTTTCCAAAGTTAAAGGAACCCCTCCGAGGTCACTGATTTTATGACGTTTCATCTGTACTCCACGCAGTAGGGTGCTCAGTCGCTCACATCAACAATCAACACCTTTCCACTGGTCTACAATGGCTTCCCAACATTTGGCAAAAGGTTATAAGCTTTTGCTGGTGATTACATGGAAAGAATGTAATGCAATCGTACTTGTAAGTTCATACCTATATTGCCATTACTTAATTTACAGCCCTCGTACATGAAAAAAGCTGTTTTAGGGGAATGGAAGGTACTTGCATAATAATAAACGCTACCAAAAACTTCAGTGTGTGCAGAAGTAGCTTTGGCAGCAATTTAGATATTGAGACCTCTGTTATTAATTTAAGTATCAGAATTTGGATTCTTCCTCTCTTGAGGTGATTCAAACTTATATGAAACTGCCATATCCGTTTTTTCATAAAATTTGACTGATGTTAACTCCTTGCACCCATAGTAAAAAAATAGATTATTGAGCTGTTGTAAAAGTAATTTTCTTCTCTTCAAACTAATTTCCTACTCATGCTTGCCTTCTGCCTGCACTTTTATAATATTGCACTTCAACAAAATGTTTTCTTTAATGATATACAATTTCATATGGGGATTAATGGTATTCTTGGTTATGAAAAAATGAAGTTATGAAATGATTATTTCGTTATTTTGCAAATATAAAGAACCATTGAGAAAATAGCCAATGTAGAAATATTGAAGGATAAATTGTGGGCCTTCTCTGGTGTTAATTTTAACTGTTTGCTTAGTTTAGTCCATAGTTGACGGAACACAGCAGAGTGGTTGAACTACATAGTTGCAACACAGATATAGGTATGTATTAGCAAGTTATTACAATAGCGTAGCTCCAATTGAAATTTCCAGCAGCTATTGTTATACAAGTACCAAATAGAAAAACAGTTCAATTTTGACATAGCTTAAAAAAATTAATTATTGCCTTCGAAAATGGAACCATCAACTTTCAGTACTTAATTATTATTAACAGACTTTTATTGATGCTTTTGTAAAAAAATCAGAAAAAACTGAAGTTTTTGTAACTGAGTTGCCAATTTTAAAATTTTCATATCTTTAGGATTTTGTTTATACTGTTGTGTGTTTCAGTAGTTGAAAAAAATTTCTGTAATACTTATTAAATTAAATTTCTTATTTTCATAAAATTTACATGGCAAATAATTCTGTGTTTGAATGTCAAATAAATTATATATAATGCTTTTAAACTTGAGTTAATCTTCTCTTAGATTATATGCTGTTGGTGGACGAGATGGAAGTTCATGCTTACGTTCAGTGGAATGTTTCGATCCATATAGAAATAAATGGACTTTCTGTGCCCCGATGTCTATTAGAAGAGGTGGTGCTGGTGTAGGTGTTATTAATGGATATTTGTTTGCCCTGGGTGGACATGATGCGCCTATTTTAAATCCCGGAGTGTCAAGATTTGCAAGCGTTGAAAGGTACCACTCTCTCATTCAGAAAATATTACATCATCTGTCTTAGCTGTTAAAAGATAAATGCTTTCATAGTCCATCATATCAGATTAATGTTTGAATTAAAATGTCTTTGGTTAAAAATGAGTACGGTAGCATGTGTATGTAAAGTACATTTAAGGTAACCGGGAACTAGAAAATGGTTAACTGTTTGTTTAGATAAGTTATTAATCCAAGATAAGTTATTAATCCATTGTTAAATTTTAAAAAAAGCTTTTGATACTCTAGCATTATTGAAATTGTAGGAATTCTTTAAAAATTACGCATGAGGTTTTAACTTTCCATCTACTGTAATTAAGATACAATTACACGCCAAACAAGTACTAATTTAGAAGCCAAACAAAAATCGGCGTTATATTTTCAAATTTTCACAGGATTGGTTTCGATGGTTGTTTGACTTTTAAATTAGTACTATAATTAAGTTATTTATTATATCATTTGTGTAATATGCAGGGTGTTTCAAAAATAATTGAAAAAGTAAAAATTCAATAGTTTGAAAACTGTAGACCAGTGGTTCTCCACTTTTTTAGCCCCCTTTCATCACTGCTAGATGATCTTCCCTGCTCCTTTCCAAAAGTAAAAAAATACATATACAAATTCCTTTAAATTTAGATTATTTTTTAACTTGTCTTATAAGAATCCTTAAAAGTCCTTAGTTTTTTTGTTTTTTTTTTCCTTTTAATAGATTTTTTGGTCTTTTAAAGTCTAATTTCGGCCAAAATCGGCAGAAAGGCCTTATTTTAATCATCTGAAATTTCTTCCTGTTTTTATGACTGGCATTTTGAATGTGAATTAGCATTTTGGAGAAATAATTTTAGCGATTCATTGGCAAATATAATTATTTTTGAATGGATGAATAGGTTCATAGATTAAAATTTGTTCCTATTTCTAATATAAACAGTGCAATACTTGTGTTTCTGAGTAAGAAGTAAAACATAAGCATTTCAAAATTATTTCATTTTTTTTCCTAAATAAGAGCTCTTAAACAACTTCTTTTCGCTTCTGGAAATGTCAGTTCTTTTATTAAACGGTTCTAAATTTAGCGATTTATCAACATTTTGGCGATTTTAAGATCAGTTTCTATAGAAATTTTTAATTCGGAAATCTGAGTTTTTTTAAACTGATTAATTTTATTAAAATAATGCTGATATATTGAAATTATAGTCAAGAAATAACATTAAAATGAAACATTTTCATTCTCCCCTATCATATTTATAAAGTGACATTACTTACCTTTTTGGCAACTTATACAATATTTTGAATCAGAAAAATAAACAAGGTAATAAATGCTTAAATTGAGTTTTAGTACAATTTATGAAACAATTCTTAGCAAAAGCAAAATAGCTATATAATTAATTAAAAATATCTTTGTTTTAATTATTTTTCATGAAAAGAGCTTTTCCCATGTAATTATCTCAGAATATGGATCACTTTTCTCTATAAAATTAATTTTACACATTTTTCCCTCTGATTTTTTTCAACATATTTCTGGCATTTTTCTGTTACGGACTTGGTAGGGGTAATTTCTGTTTAGGATTTTAGGCATTGCAATTTGGAAAGTTTAGAAGGATTTGAAAGCAAGATTTATAGACCAACGACTCTAGATGATTCCGGAAAAATGTGTTCATGGTATTAACGCATAATGGATGTATTTTACAGAAAGTTTGTGGTGAATTTCTTACTTATTGGAGAATTTTAGAAGAACAATTTAAAATAATATTTGAATCTTTACTTCTGATACTATAAGTCTTTTTCTTAACTGTTTTATCTTCCCTTTATTTTCTCAACTTTTACTAGACAAAAGCATGTAAAATATCAAAAATACTTCTAATCTTGTCACATGGAGAGGCATTCATAGAAAGGAATTTTTCTATTAATAAAGGAATTCAAAACTGACAATTTAAAAGATTCATCTTATATGTCTTGATGCATCATACACAGAGCTGGCGCAAGGCATTCTCTCACCTGATGTAGTCTATGGATCCCAAATTCTGCTACCTAGTGCATTCCTAAATTCTAAACGTTTAGCAATTTCTAGATTTTGTTGCTCAGTGTGTCAGTAAATTCTAAAAATTCTGCCACACGGGCTCTGTAACAGGTCCTTACCAGTGGCTCCCAAAAGTGTTTGTACACTTATGATTTTCATTGAAATAAGGCTCTATCCATTAATTAAAAGTAAACTTTCTGAATGATATTTTAATAATAAGATCTATAATCTATTCGTAACAAAATTACATGAAATATTTTTTAAATACATCGAAACTTTATTTTTAAGAAATTAATAATCAAAAAATGACAAACATTTTATCGCACAAAAGTCTTCATACACTTCATAAAAATATTGACATATTAGTAAATATTTTCATTTTTCATTAAATTAATATTAGTAGCATCCACAACAGCTTTTAAACATCTGGGAATAGATTTCATTTTTTTTTTTTCAATTTTTGTATCAATGTTCATCCATTCTTCCATCATGGCTGTTTTGAGTTCGCTTTTCATTTTGATGTCGTGTTTTCATACTCTAACCTCCAGTTCTTTCCAAATGTGTTCTATGGGGTTTAAATCTGGCGACTGAGGTGGTGTTTTCAAAAACATGTGGACAATTATAGAGAACACCTACAGGCGAACGTTGAGAGCCGCATATACTTAGGATCGTTATCATGATTAAAAATAAAGTTGTTTCCAATACCCAAATTTTGGGCTGATAATTTTAAATTGCCTCTTAAAATATTGAAATAAAGAGAATTATTCATTGTGCCATCAATAAATACTAAATTACCTAGTCCTGGTGCTGCCGTGCACTCCCACATAAGAAAACCTCCACCGCCATGCTTAACTGTTCCAACTAAGTTCTTAAATGAAGATCCTCGTTTCTCTTCTTCATTCTTATTCAATCGTCAGAACCAAAAATGTTAAATTTGCTTTTGTCAGCAAATATGACATTATTCCAGTACGTTTTGGGTGTATTTATCATTGATTTTGCGAATGAAAGCCTAAGCTTTCTGTTTTTCTCACAGCAAAATTTTTTTTGGGCAGAACGCCCATGTAATCCAGCTTCTCTGTAAGAATTCGTCGTACAGTTTAAGGTGAAATTCAAGTAGAAAACTTTCCATAAAATTCTGCAGAAACTTTTACAGCAGTCAAACGTGAGTTTTTCACAAATTTTCTAATAATAAATCTCTTATCATGTTTAGTTAACTTTCTCGGTCGACCTCTTCTTACCTTGTTTCCAATCCGATTTTCTTCTTTAAAGCGTTTTTATCACATACTGCAGTGTAGAATGGGAGAAATTAACTAATTTAGCAATATTTTGAATTGATTTTCCACTACTATTGTGAAAAATTATCAATTTTCGAATGCTGTTTGTAATTTCTTTATGACTGTGACCCATTTTTCAATAATAAATAGAATATTATGAAGTAAACAATAAAAAATTAAAACAATTTTTTTAAATGCCACCACAATGAAAAAAATTAAAAAAGCGGCAAATGATAATTCTAATTTTGATTTTATCCAAAAATATTTCAGTGTAGAAAGACTTTTGTGAGATTTTTTTATCATTGTGAGATTTTTGATCTTTTGTATCATTTTTTGATTATTAATTTCTTAAAAATAAAGTTTCGCTATATTTTATAAATATTTCATGTAATTTTATTGTGAATAGATTATAGGTCGTATTATTAAAATCTCATTCAGAAAGTTTACTTTTAATTAATGGATAGAGCCCTATTTCAATGAAAATCATAAGTGTACGAACACTTTTGGGAGCCACTGTATAATTTTGTATTTATTCTGAATATTTCTATTACTAAAGAAATAAATTTAGCATTTTTTCTTACACATTCTAAATGCATTTAGTTTTTTAGAATAACAGAAATCTTTAATAAAATCCAAAAATTCTAAAATGAAGAGGAAACATGTTGAAGAAAGAGAATTATTCTTCAAAGATACATACAGTTATTATTATGTAAATTAAGCAGTTATTTATAATTTCGGCCTTTACTTTAATTTCCCTTTCCTGACCATAATGCAAATCACTTAGATATTTTTTAAACTAAGGTTTTGGGGTGGTAAGACAGAATTTCTTTCTAGCCTCCACTTGCAGGTTGTATTAGCTCCTACGAATTCTGATAATTTGTAATAATTTGTCTTTGCATTATTGCTGCTGATATTTGAATTTGTTATGACAACAATTACGTTACGATTTGTTAGGCTGCTATCACACATCCATTTATTTCGGAAGAAAAACTGTTTAGAACACTTTTTCTGCTTTGTCACAACAGCCAATCGCCACAGGTCACATTGGGCTTAACACAGGGAAAACTGGTTCTCCATTACAAACAAGCTAATAGCATTCGAAGCTGATAGCTGATTGGTGGAAAACAAACAAAGCTGATTGGTTGAAAACAAACAACTTGCAATTTTTTTCGAAAGGAAGGGGGAAATTGTGCATCTTTCTTTCTATAGTAAACCAGGCAGAAAAATTGTCCAAAACAGTAGTTCGTGTGAAACAAATGCATGTGTGATATGTGCCTTACTGAACCAACTTAGATTAAAATTAAATTGTGTAGTCTTTGACTACTAGTCCACAGTTTAGTTTGAATTTGACTGTTCCTAGAGAGGATGTTGGTTTGCATATTGAAACAAATTTGTAATTGTTAGAAAAGATGCTTAAAGAGAAGGAAATTAATGTAAATTTATCAGAATAAGGCTTCAAATTAAAAAGATGCATAAATATTTTGTTGAGTATTGGTGCTACAAAACGTAAATGTTTTGTAGCTTTTAATGCATAGTTATCCTAATATCGTTTAAGAACCAATGTCATAAATTGCATGTATTTTAAACTGTGACATGTTAATAGATTGTGAATTTAATAGTGCTTTTTTAACAAATATATTTTTTAATAAATTTAATTCCGGTCATGTAAATCTATAATGACTAAGGGTATCTAGCTAGCTAATTTA